ATTTAATTTGTAGCGGATTGCTACCTTAGTAAAGCCTGACTGACTCAGAAATCTCTATGGCAAATTTTCCAACATCTAGCTAGACTCCCAGAACCAGCTAAGCTATAGCCCAGCTATGAAAGGAAACAGACGTGTAGCACGGAGTACGTTTATTCAGTACGAGTATTGTGGATAAAGTGTACACACAGGGAGCTACTCATGATCAGGATGGGGTATTAGGTTAAACAGAGGTTAATGATTGGCCACTGTTTGTACGGCCGCTGCACACAGAGTTGTACGGCCGCACCTCCCAATCCTGGCGAGCAGACATGCGGGCATACGATGACGCACACAGCGATAACGTGTCCCACAAGTTAGAGAAAAACCCGAATTTCTATCTACCTGTTTCATATGCAATTTCTTCAAAGTCGTACTTTTTCTAACATATTCGAATTCGAGGGAATCAATCAATCTATCAATACACCCATCGTTGCCATCAATGACTAAACCGTTGTAGAAGCCGTTTAGAAGCCGTAGTCATCAGGAGAGAAATGAAGATGGTTGTTCTGATCATTGGATCTGCGTACTTTTCTCACCAAGAGCAGTTATTTGCTTAAATATTTGACCAGATGGACCTTAAATGTTACTAGCTGTCATTAGAATTAACGCTATTCAATAAAGCTTTCTCATAACCGGTTTTGACTTTTTAGCTAGATGAAATCTAGACTACGACAGATATCGAAAAATAAATGTTTTTCGAAGGCAGTCAAAAATATAAGGCAGGTATAGCATCTCTTCACAAATTTATAAATACAAAATTAATATTTTTTTAAATTTTGTTATAACGTGTATATAAAAATGAATGAAGGAGATTTATTCAAAAATATATGCATTTTTTGGAATAAAAACCTTCTCTTGACATTTGTCGGAGATGCTATTGGCTGCCTCACTCACGTCTTATCTTATCTTCAAACTGAATATTTGTCAAGCTTTTTTAATATTCGACTGTTGGAAATACTTCCTTCCCAGGTTCAATCCAATAGAGGTAAGAAACGCTTGTAAATTCTGTTTAGTCTTAATATAATAAAATCATTTTCTATATTCAGGTTCTGTACTCTGATTTTGTAAAGGAAATCCAACTTAAAAACTGAATTTACTATACCTCTATCCTTTTGTATCAAATACCTTTTTTTCATTCTTGTTCTAGCCATACCTACCTATAAATTTAATTAATTGATAATTTATTAAGTATATAAGCTTACTCAAATTTGTCAGTTCATGCGAAATTGAGTACTATCATATTTCCGCCTATTATTAACTGTCTCCTCACATCTCATAATGTAAATCCGGGAAAGACTTACCTCAACGTGGTGCACCCTGGGCAACGTATACTCTTACGGCAAAAAAGTCTATTACCTGGCAGTTGACTTCTCACTTCAAATTACCATCACCCCATTGACGCAGTTGACTTCTCACTTCAAATTACCATCACCCCACTGTATGTCATGTTCGAATACTTCCACAGTGCTCATCTTACCTTTTCTCTGTCTTTGTGTTTGTCTCTTTTACATTTTTGAAACACTCTTCTCCCCCCCTGTCGACTTTTTTCACTTCGATGTTCCTCCCCTCTATATGAAGCCTGAAGTCAACTTAAGGGCTAATGACAACTATTACAACGCCTGCCATTCGATATAAAAATAATGCAAATTCGAGAAGAACATTTCATATACTGAAACCTCCTCTCTTTGAGTTAGAATTTATTTCAGGCTTTGATCCTTAACATTGCTTACCGCCTCAGCCCATCTATTAAGAATAGCTTAAAAAAGTATAATTCGATGACATCACAATTTGTGCGATTTCTGTTTTTACGGGCTGAAACTGCTTACAATAGAATGAAATTTATTAAAGAGCTCGGCGATATTTAAATTCGAATGCTTAATGCGATTGAAACTTAAGTTGGCAAATAATGAAACGTAGTATCTTCATGAAAATGCGCGGACTTTCTGACGTCCAAGCTCTCGCAAACCTGCTTTTAAACTGCGGCGATTTGTGAATGATCGGCTGTCCGAACCACTTAATAAAACTATTAACTTTTTGATGAAAGATATAAGACTTGGCCTGTTTTATTGCCAATATTTGGCAGACATATTTTTTTAAATGTCATCCAACGGAGGAATGGATAAAATTGGAAAGGTTCAGGTCTTATAAATCACGAAATTGAAATAAGCCCTAATTGAAATAGTTAAAATGGAATCTCATCGGCGTAAATTAATGAACACGAAAGTAAATTTATTACTAAGATAAAAATTTGTCCGACATCAATTATTCTAATGATAGTAATGACATAATACACCTGTCCGAGTGTTAAATGAATTTTTTACTTCATAAATAAATAATAAATAGTTTTAAAATATGGAAACTCTAATAGTTAAATTATTCGAAACTGACAAGACGTCAGTGATACATTAGTAAAATATAATTTCACAAATAAATAAGAACTATTTTTATCATAAGCTATTGTATTACAGATAATTATATGTGACGAAAATTTCATTATAATATTTCCGATAGTGAATTGCCTCAAATTTTGGGGAGTTCAGTTTTTTAGTCACTTTAACATTTGACAATACCGATAAACAAACTACTGACTTAAATCTAGGCTTATTCGGAACAGCCGAATTCAGGATTTTGTAAAAGAAATAAGTGATAACTTAAAATCTTTCATTCAGAAATAAGTAAAAAAATTCAAATTTAACGCAATATTCTCGGGATACAAAATTTTGCTTGTCCTTTTACCATCGAACGAAATCTCAGTTAATTAACAAATTGGCAGTTTTAATTCATATTGAACAAAGTCCAAATAAAAATGCATTTTTCTAAATTCACTGAATTCATGACTAATCAACTGCTCATTTTTTATTTAGAAACCAATTTCCCAAAATATGATTTACAAGATAAAAAGAAGCCAATAAGCAGAGGAGGGGTGAGTGGGTGGGCAAATCAGTTAATTAATTAATTAAATTAATATTGATAAATTATTACGAAAACAGTGCATAACTTGAACCAAAGTATTAATGAAATAACTTGGATTCCCTAGTAATTTTGACGATATGATAATTCATATATATACAACTGAAAAACAGCTATCGCTTAATGATATTACTCAATTAAAATCAAATTTTATCAACAATAAGTTAATGAAAAAGTATTTTATATCTAATAAATGTAAAAAGAAATAAATAAATGCATAACCGCAGGATTATCAAATACCTAAAACATTATAATTTCAAATGGCAGGCTTTATGATATTTATCATTAGCCCCTATATATACCTAAAACATTGAGAATACATAATAACAAACGTATGGTTTATAAAACTAACAAAATTCGATAGAGTTGTAAATATAATAAATTTGTACATGTTGAGAGATCTGAGGATGGTCCGTTAGTCAGGTCCTATACGTCTTCATCATAATTCAGACCACTAAAAAGACCACCACCTCCTCCACCACCGCCAAAACTAAGACCATAGCCTCCTCCAAATCCATATTCAGGGACTTCCATACCCGGCATTCGATAAGCATCTGCTCGACGAAAGAGTCCACAAAGTATGAACCAAATTGCAAATAACGAAGTAAAACTCAGTAGAACAATTAACCAGACGCTAAACTGGAAGCTCAGATTGTCGTGAGTACTTGTGGTGTCTGATGTGACATTTGAGGACTGGTTTGTCAACTGATTTGATGTGTTCGTGGTAACCCTAGAGGTGGTAATGACTTCTGCATGGAGAATAGGAAAGGAGAATGCAAGAAGAAGATAGATTACTCTCATTGGGTTTGTTCTGCTTTGTCCGTTGCGTTATGTCAGGTTACTTTTCAGAAAGAATTGTTCGAGATTTATTTTTCTGCGTGAATTACGACCGCCCTCGTGCGTCGATCTACGATTGACCAATGAAATCATGCGGAAGTAAAGTGGACTTGGGAAATGGGGTGATTCATTGTGCAATGACGCGAAGGGTTTTGCAAAAAATTTGCCAAAAGCTGGGACAGGTTAGAAGCAACGTTATCTCTAAATTCTATTATGGCATTTAGTCGGATGCTTCGGGTTGTAATCGTAAATTTTAAGTAAATGCAACAATGGTTTTTACTTATTTATGACTCTTAAATCCTAAAGACATTGTTTCCACAGGAGATCCGCACTCCCATTTACACATTGATCCAACATCAGTGAAAAAATTTTAGGCAAGTATTTTGAATGGGTGGCATTTATCATTTATCTTATTCAGTAAGTTTTGTGGAACACTCCATCAATGACCAAATAGAAATCCTGGTATAGAATATTACTCAGAAATATTTAGCTATTATTGTTCACGCGAATTATGCTAGAGTTATCTGATAACTAATCGCTTTGCCAACATTACACTTCGCTATCAATATATGCACCGAATAAACGTATTCCGTGCTACACATCTGTTTCCCTTATAACTGGGCCATAGCTTAGCTTGTTCTGGGAGTCTAGCTAGATGTTGGAGAATTTGCCATAGAGATTTCTGAGTCGGTCAGGCTTTACTAGCGTAGCAATCCGCTACAGTTTCAATGTGCATTCTATTGATGCTTATTTGACGTTTTCGTGAAAATTAATGAGCTACTAAGACAACACTGCACCTTCTTTGTCACGTTTAAATATTTTGTTGCGATTAGAGTGTTGTTAAGACAATTCATATCAGATGAAACATGATCAAACAGCTACTTCCAGCATCGACTTGTATCAAAATGTTTAATAAATAGTCAGATGTGTCAGAGGATCACTTAACTCTATCCAATTTAAGTAAAAAGTGATCAACTGGAATATAATCATAAACGAATGAAATGATGCTAAATGAAGACTCGATAAGTTAAAAAATTTTGTGTTATTTAATTTATAAAATTAAATGTCTACGTAAAATAGCTCCTATTTACTTTCAGAGTAATCCGCAACAATGTCTTCTTAAGCAAATATTCAATAATTTAATTACGAATGACTTACAAGAATGACACATTGCGCTCAGACCTGCAAGCTTTTTCATAAAGACGCTGTTTTGGAAGACGGAAATTTTCAATACGACCATAAGACAAAAAGCACGAATATTTTGAATTCGCTTTTAAAACTCATGTGAACGAAAGCAAACGCTCATCTTCAACAGAGTGGCATCATAGAGCCTCCTGCCGATGAGATATATGAATTCTTCCAACATATATATTCGGCAGACGAAAGCCTTTCACAAGCTGGAGGTGTATCGAAGGTTGCACTCTAGATAGGAAGTTTATTTCACTCAAATTCTCTGAATACTTTACTTAAACCTATTTGACAGACACATGAAGATACATGTCTGGGATCCTTTCGGTCACGTGACATATAGAATTGGTCTTTTGCATGCGAACAACCAATATCATATGAGCACAAACAGAGATATTTCTAGGCTCAAGTTCGGCAGTCGTTGTCGTCGTATGTACTCCAGAGTACACTTTTTTATCAACAATATTTTTTTTTCCAGACTTTGCGGTTGCCAAGTATTACCATAACTTATATACTCTTCAAAACTTAGTTTGGTTGCAATGCCAAAGTTATTACTCCTACCTTGTTTTTGATATTTAAATGGGGAAAATGATCTATAAAACCTCTTACATCGCCCAATTCTAAGGCAAGGTTCAAATAACACGACCATAAGTTTTTCCTCACGAATATCAAAATATGAAGTACTATAGTATATTAGATTTGTGAATTATGTGCTCACGGAGTGAACAATCAATGCATCGAGAATTAGACTAAACTCAAACTCTTGATACTTTGGTAAAGATATCGACTGGTAGCACAAAAGTCCCCTGATTTGTCAGAGAAAGAATTACATTAACATAGGAACTAGGTTCCGCCAACTAAGATATTTAGGTCATAGAATTCCTTAGTTCATATCTTTTGAAATGGATGGCGATAAATCTTAGCTACTATTTAAAATTTACAAGATTTTTCCTCGCATAATCTTGTTTGAACTTAGATATGTTTTAAATGTATCAGGCCCGATAAATTCATTATTTCTGCCAATAACGTGTAAATGATACAACGACTAAAATCAATAGGTTGAAGGATTATCTACTGAATTTGAGTGCAAAAATATCCAATCAAATTAAGAGAAAGCATCAAATTAGAACTTGAACCGGCTTAACATGAGGCTCTAGAATATTCTCATTTGGAAAAATTCGTTTCACCTTCTATTGTTTTTTTCAGATTCTATTTAATTTTTTAATTAACCATTAACTAAAGTGATTTGCTGATCTAAATGCTCAAATGCTACAGGAAAAATATATTTTTTGAAATAAATTTATTAATTTCAAAAAGTAACTTTCAAGCGTTAAATTTTAAGTTTATTTTAAATTAAATTTTGATTATTTTGAAATTAGATGACATAAGTTTTGTTATTTATCCATATAGATTGTTTAATAGGTGAATACGTCGATACTTTTCAGGCACAATCCTTGACCGAAGCCATGAAAGCCATAAACTCCTTGAGATCAATCTCTCCATCCTTGTTTTTGTCAACTGAATTGAAGATCTCAGTAGCGATGTTCATTGAGACTGGCACATTAAAGGCTTGGACAACCTCCATTACTTCATTCATTGAAAGGGAGCCTGAGTTATCTTTATCCATATGAGTAAAGAAGAGCCTGAAGGCCGCTGTCCTAAATAAACAGAAAAAAGATTGCCATAAATTTATTTATTTCAAATGGCAGGCATTATGATAGGTATCA